AATAATTTAATTTAATTATAAAGGTAATATAATTAAATAAAAATAATTTAATTTAATTATAAAGGTAATATAATTAAATAAAAATAAACTTTATTAATTTTTTTAAAAAAATATTGATATTAATAATGCTTGCAATAATTAATTTGACTTGATATAAGTTGTAATTTTGGATAGTCTTATAATAACTCAATACTATATTTAGATAAATTTTTGATCAAAAATTCAAATTTAATAACTCAGTCAATATCGTCTGATATTAATAAAATAACTTCTATTGAAATTATTATAATTAGATGATTTCAGTAAGCTAAATAATATAAATATCTGATTACAGGTTGATGAGATAAATCATTTTTAAGATTAATTTGATTCTTTAATTTTATTAGTTAAATATTAGATATATAAAATCACAAAATTATGTAATTTATAACATTATAATAAATATTACAATTATAATATTATAGAAATTTTTTATAGATGTAGTAATTGTAACAACTTATTAATTATGACAAGCATCATTAATTAATATATTTTTACATTTTATTATTTAGTAAAATTTTCAAAAAAAAGGTTATTATAACAAATATTTATTAATAGCAAAATTTTAAATACAGTTATGATAAATTTATAATTCAGGTAACTACTAATATAATTACAATTATTAATTCAATCATAATAAAAAATTTGTATTTATATATTTTCAAATTTAATAAACAACTTTATTTAAATATTTAAAATTGACTTAATTTGTATAAAGTGTTTAAATAGGATAGTACATATAAAAATCAGGTTTAGATCATATGATTTATATAGTCTTATTGCATGATTTTTATGATTTTTATATGAATTAACCTAAATTACTCTTTGAAAACGTTAAATAGATAAAAAAGTGATAAAGATTTTTAATAAAATAATAAAATTATGAAAATCATTTATAACTCTATAATCAGGGTTGGGAAGTACATTGTTAGTACAATGATTAGTATAGTTAGTACAGTTAGTACATTATAATAATAATAATTAATATAAAAATTAGTACAAGTACAGTACAAGTACAGTGGTAAATTTATCTAGTACATACAAAATTTCCAACCCTGTCTATAACTATTAATCTAATCATAATAAAAATTTATATTTACATATTTTGAATTCACTGTATAATATTACTTAGTTCTTAAAATTGATTTTTTTGACTAAAGTGCTTAAGTATCTTTTTGAAATAATTGAATATATAAAAAAAATTATTTGTTAATATAATTAAAAAAATGTTTATATTTAACTTTTAAATATAATAAATTACAAAGTAATTTATATAAACAATTTTATTAAATTATTAAAAAAAAGTATGATTAAATAATATTAAAAATATTTTAAAAAAAAAATAGTTTAAATAAAAATTATTTTATGTTATTTTTTATTTTTTGATTTAATTTGATTATTTGACCTGAATTTTATTAATTCGGATTATTATAAGTTTGATTTAAGATGATATTAACATGAAATTTGTTTACCTAATCTGAAATTTTCAAGTTTTATTACAAATGGATGGATCTGTTCTAATTCAGAATTATATAAAAAATAATAAACTATTTTTTTATTTTTTTTTAAAAAATTTAATCATATTTTATTACTTTTATAAAAATCTATTATTTAAATAATTTTAAACATAATTTCTAATAATAAATTAATTATGTTTAATTACAAAATAAAATAAAAAATAAAAAATATATTATTTGTTTAAAAATTAATATATTATTATTAAGTTTGTTTTTTATTAAATTTAATAATATATAAATATTTTATTTACTAATATTTAATAAGGTTATTATAATTTAAATAATTCAATTACTTTATAAATTTGATTAAATTATATTTATTATAAACTAATTAATAAATAATCTTTTTTTATATAACTTTAAAGATTATTTTTTTTTTAAAAATTTTTTTACTAATATATTAAATATTTATATATATACAATATATATAATTTAAGGTTTTGATAAATTAATATTTATATATTTTATTCAAAGTTTATAAAGAAAAGAAATAAATAAATTAGTTTTAAATAAAATTTTATAAAATTTTTTTTTGAAAAAAATAAAAAAAAATATGAATAATAAAAAGAATTAATGATATGGAATATTGCTAAAAATAAACAAATTTGAAAAGTTTTTTTTTGTATTTTTTATATTATAACGCAATAAAAAATTTCTTCAAAGATTGTATTTTAAAGGCTAATCAATTTTTTATAATCCGATATCTTAACTGTAAGTTGGATCAGGTTAGATCAACTTAATCAGATTTAAAACTTAGTTTTCAGATCCGGGGTCTGGTGTTGGGTACCCGACCCGTTTCTCCTTAATTCTGGCCTAAATTATAATTTGGCAGAATTTAAAATTCATTAATAACACGCTATTTTTTAATTATTTTTTTATATACGCCAAAATGTGTTAGTTATGATATAAATATTTATCGATCATTAGCCAACATTCTTATGACATAGTAACTTTAATAATTCTTTTTTCTAAAGTTTCTATTTATAATTTTATAAGTTGATTATTTAATTTTCATTTAAAAAAAAATATATATATTTCTTTTACCAATCATCAAATTATGATCCGCAAATTCCTAAACTAAATTAGGTCATGCTTCAAAATTGAGTATACGGACTTCCAATATCAATTATTTTAACCCTTTATGGTATGGTTGGAATATACACGTGTATAAATATTGCTCCTATTAATATTTATAACTACCATTAAATGAAAAGAATTCTATACATTGATTGCTAAAAGAATCATTTGTTTAGATTGAATATTAAAATAAAAATACAAATAAATATTTAAATATTAAATTTTTTATTATTAAAACAAAATGAATTTAAATTATTAAAAATTCTAAAACTGACGTTTTATGTGATTAATTTGTAACCGGATATTCCATTGCAAAGTGATTCTAGAACATAATACAAAATTACAAAGTATCTGATATCGGGATCTATATTAATTGAATTATATGTTGGTGATAAAATAAGATCGCCTATATTTCAGTAAAAAATTTAATGTTACTCAGCATATCAAATGGTCGGAAAGCTACAGCCTAGGACGCAAAACATATCAATGAAACAGGTTTCAAAAACCGGTTCTATCTTTAGATTAACAAAATATTTAATTTGGGTATTGTTATAAGGATAATTGAACAACCGAAGGCTTTTGACCAATGATTCTGCATAAATACATATGGAGAAATTTTTAAAAAGTGGTGTTCGTGTTGCGACACATTGCTTAAGGTTTTAATGAGAACTAGACGATATAGAAAAGGGTGAATTGAATATATGAAGTTGATGCAAAATGTATAAAAACCAAAATAATTAGTAGAACAATGTATAAAAGAATTCCTTTTTATTATAGGTTAATTAAAACTCCAATTATTATTGTAAGACCAACATGCGATTTTCATTGTCATCACCAAATGCAGGACAACAATCTGATAAACAACAAGCGCGTATTTGATAATTATCGTAATCAGATTCTATTATGATTACCGTAATCGTATTCACTTTTTTTCTCGTTTACGAATTAGTTAAATATGATTACATTAATAAATTTATCAGGATTTAGATAATCTTTCCTCATTCTCTTCTTTAAACTATTTGTTATTTTCTGGATCAAAATACTATCCAGATTGAATCCTTTTATATTAGAAACGTAAGTTGATGCGGTTTTTTAATTACGAATGCTTTTTGGATTTCAGACACGTGACTCACATATTTAAAATTTAAATAATAGAAAAAGAAAGAAATATTTTTTTTAATAAGTAACCTACCATATATTAGGAAAAAGGATAAAAATCAGGAACGTTCATTTGAAAAACTTTCATAGTATGAAAAATCGTCAAGTTATACTTCATTGTTTACAAATAAAAATAACATATATCGTATATATATAAAAACAAGGAATTGGTAAAATTAGATATTCTGTAACATCATCAAACAGAGACTCGTATTGGTCCCAATGTTTATCTGTGGTTGAATTAATGATGGTACAACATACATAGCGGTCTGACACCTAAGTTCGCTGATACATTAGCTTCAAACGACCGATCCCATGTGCATTCAACTTAGATTGGTAACACATTGGAAGGTAAGGTTTGCTTTATAAATAAACCTGTTTGATAACCATTAACTTTTGGTTAGTCTTGTTGCTTATCTTGGCTTAGTCGTCATTTTATATATATTCCGTGATTTTTTTCTATTTCCTTTTTTTTTTTTAAAAAAAAAAAAAAGGTTCCAAGAATTATGCAACATGTGTCTTTTCGACTGAAATATGAAATGCTTAAATAAAATGCGGATTTTTTGATCGCTTACTCCGATAAAAAAAAAAAAAAAAAGGCTTTTGTTCTTCGATATAGGAAGTCATGCCGATCACCAAAAAAGATAGGTATGAGCCGCGCCGCAGCAATTTAATTCGACCTTACAGTTTTTTTTTTCCATCTTTTGCAGGAATCTGATTTGTTTTTAAATTCAAACCTTTCTCAGTTTTAGTAATAAATCACGATTATTGATATTCAAATTGGAATATATCATGATGTAATGTGTACAATAAACAAAACCCGATTTTTTTTTAAATCAAGGGCACGTGTAATGTGAATTTTAAATAAATCAAGGCAATGAATGCAGATTTTTTTTTTAAAGGTTTTTTTTTTTATTTTATTTTTTTTTTCTTTTAATAAAAAAGTAATTCTTTCAATTATTCGTCCCACCTTTCTTTGTTCATTACTTTGTTCTTTGTTTGCTGCGGACCAAATTTCGATGTAATCAAACATAATTACATTACGTAATATAACTGTTATTGTTGTAGTTATATAAATAACAATCTTACTTTACAAACACTTAATTTATGACATATTTTCTCTTTATTAACGATTTTTTTTTCTTTTTGACTTTTTCTGCGGTATTATTTGAGCACCTTTAATCGAATTCATCAAAAAATTGTATAAATATGAACATGGAAAGGAACCCGTATAAAAGAAGTATAAAAGAGGAAAACCCCTATCGCATGAAAAGGGAAGAAAATCCTTATTTGAGAAAGGTAGAAAACCCGTACATAAAAAAAGAAGAAAACTCATACTTTAAGAATGAAAACTCGTATCGTCAGAATCAAGAATATCTTAAAAAGCAGGAAAATAAATCCTATGGTCCTAGAAATGACATGATCCCGTATATTAAGAAATATGAAGAAAAACCGATTCCGATCGAGAAGAAAGAAATCAATCATAAGTATCGCAGAGAAAATCCTTATATCAAAGAACACCTTAAAGATCAACAAAACGCTAGTTTTGATGTTGAGGTATCTATACTACATCACAACCTTTAAGTTTTATAATATGTCAATTAAAAATATATGTTTCTTTTCCTTCTCTTCTCCTTATCAAAGATCTCTGACCCCATCGTAACTAGTCCCGAGAGTCCTTCGGTCCTAAAAGTTGATCGTTTTCGTTTGAGAAACGTTCCGGTTCATAAGGAAAACCCTTACGCGAATTGGAAGTTTTCAAGCATTAAAGATATTGATCAAAATCATGAAGCAAAATGTATAAGGTCTTCCGCAAGAATTGACGATCAGTATATACGAATTGACGCGTTTACAGTTACTCCGAAGCCGGTAAATTATAATTATTTAATTGAAATTGATTGGAAGCTTAATGAAGAGTTTATTGATGCTGTAAGAATTGAACAGGGAGCTGTTGCTGAACCAAATGATGTCGCTAATGAAAATGTTAAAGATAAACGGATAAAAGATGATGTTATTGAACGCGCCGATCGTGATGAAGTCATAGATGTAATCCATATGATTGATCTTGATACTTCATTCATTTTTTTTAACAAACTAACCCGATTTGATGCAATTATTATTTTGTTGTTTAGAATGAAAAGGTTGATGATATAAAATCACCTGGAGATATTAAAGTTGTTGATGACTCGGTAGGTGGACAACGTATTTGTTACCATGTTTTAGTAATTACATTAATATAATTCTTCTTTAATTTGTTTTCATTAGAAATCGTTAAAGTGGTAAGTATATTCGTAATAATTTGTATGTGTATATAAATATTATTTAATAAAAATTATTTGTAGCTTTTATGAATCGAAGAAACTTGAAGAAGCTATTGAAATTAAAACAGAAGCGACGACAATAGTTGAACCACACAAGTCAATTGAATCCGAAAAAGAAATAATTACAACGGAAGAGATGACTCTTGTTGAACCACATAAGCAAGTCGAATCCGAAAAAGACCTGATTACAATGGAAGAAATGAAGCTTGTTGAACTACTTGAACAAGATGAATCAGAAAAGAACTTGATTACAACTGAAGAGACGTGTTTTGATGAAGCTATTAAGCAAGATGAATCAGAAAAAGACTTGATTAGAATGGAAGCGTCATTGTTTTATGAACCATTTGAGCAAAACGAATCAGAAGAAAACTTGTATATATCGGAAGCGACGATAGTTGATGAACTACCTGAGCATGATGAACCAAAAAAAGACTTGTTTACAACGGAAGCAACGATAGTGTATGAAACACTTGAGCAAAGCGAATCAGACAAAGACTTGATTTCAACGGAAGCGGCGACATTTGATGAACAAATTAAGCAACCTGAATCAGAAAAAGAATTAATCCAAATGGAAGCGACGACAGTTATTGAATTGCAAAAGCCAAATGAATTCGAGAATGAGATGCAAGCGGATGCATCGCAAAACCCTCGTGAAGAGAGTATTTCATATCCACTAATTGTTTCTCCGAAGGAAGATAAAATGGAAAGATTAGAAAAGGAAACTACTAAAATAGCGGAGAGGGTCAACGCCAGTGATAAAGTTAAAGCGCTCAAAAGCCAGCTTCATCTTTTATTTAATCATAAAATGTCCGAATCAGCTGCGCCAAAAGAAAATTCCGATCAATATAAAATTGACAATCAAGTAGTCGTTAAACCAGATAAGCCAGTATCAAAATCAAGTGAAAATGGTGTAAAAAAGGAACCAGGTAAAGCGATTCATGTGGGAAATACATTTTGCGAAAAAAGGACTATAAAAGCCGACCAAGCTTTACAACTCTCACCTACCAAAGATAAGCTAGAAAGGGGACTACCTGCTACACTAAATGTTAAACTCTGTCAGACGTATACGATATCTCAGAAGTCAAAACTTCCAAATAGTGTACCTACATACATTTTGGTTGGTGATCGATTCGTTCGAGAGGATAAAGCTTTGATAGATCTGGATAAAGATGATTCAGTTGAAACTAGTTCAATCAATAATATAAAACCAGTACAGGTGAAATTGTTGCCACCTGAGCTTCAAGAAATCGATTATACGGGATGGATTATGCAGCAAATTGTAGAAGAATTTCAAAATAGCTTCAAAACAAACAAAACAAATAATAACCAATCTAAAGTATGATTTATAATTTCTTTCACGACCGTATTTTATATTTTTTATTCAAATATAATATATTTTTTATGATAGGTTAAACCGAGTGGATCTTTCCTTGAAGAATTTGAAGGTTGATAACGCTAGAGGACATCATCGATTCTATTTTTTTTTTTTTTTTATTCAATTGATTTTATCTATTAATATAGCTCAAATAATATCATCCAATAATTATGTAACAAGACAGAATATGTAATTTAATTATTATAATTCTTTATTATTATTTCAAATTTAAAGATTTATATAGATTAATGCATATTCTTTTGCATAAAATGGCAAAGAATTGAAAGTGTTCTTTTTTTTTTTTTAAAAAAAAAAATCTTTTGAATGAATTTATTCTTTGTGTTATTTGGTGTAAAAAAATATGATCCCTGCAGAATTCAAAAGTAATAAGAGTTAAGATAAAGTATTTACATATTAATAAAGCGTTTTGTATATAAATTGACTTTTTGAAGAAATCTTCGAAAAAATGAAAAAAAATTGACGTCGAATAATTAGTGCTTTTCAATCATGGAATGTATTACTTTAGAAAAGATAGTTAAAGTAATTTCACTTTAAAAAATAACAATAAAATAAAAAAATAAAAGTTATTTTAAAGCGTTATTCTTAACAAAATAGATTATAAAATAATATCGGCAATTCTTGGGACGATCCAAGAGATGATTATAATTGTCAAATCATGTTTACGAAACATGCATCAGATCGTAATTACCTCTTTTTTTTGTGGCGCTAAGTTTTCACCCTAAATCATTTTGTGAAATACATGACATGATGAAATATAGGATATCATAAATAGTTCCGTATCAGTAAAACGTGACTATCATTTTGGAATATTTTAGAACAAAATATTACGCGTCGATATTAATATGATATGTTTACGAAATTCCGCGTTCATTAATTAATATTTATATTTATTATTTATATATGATTAATATGAAATTTAAACCTGTTAAAAACATATAACAAAATTTACACATTGATTTAAAAATATACAATAATCCTTCTTTTTTTATACAACCATTTAATACCACATTAAAATTTCCGAGAATGCTTTGGAGAACCAGCTTTAGCGTACGAAAAGACTTGCTTGTAATTGGTAGCCAAAGCTGGAGGTAAAGGTATATCGTCACTACTGTGCCCTCGATAATTTCCGCTCATAAAGTCGTAGTTTCGACCGTCATAATTTGATTGGTTTATTACGGTGGTGGAATCAATTTTGATTTCAATATGTTTGACATTCTTGTTATCAAAGATTTCTTTGGAACCTTTATGAGATTTAAATGATGCTGACGGGGATGATAACTTTAAATATCCACCATCATTTGGAAGTAATCGTGGATAAAATATCAAAACTAAATTTTTTTTATAATACAGGAAATGGGGAAAAATGGTATTCGGTTAAAATCCATATCTACACTTGAACGGTTAATTACGTGTAACAATGAAAAAATACTCACGCCAAACGATCCAACAAGCGACCATCGAAAAATTGATTATACCGGCAAATAAATCGATGGTAAATTTATTTTTGTTCAAATATTGCTTCTCCGTAAGAGCATCAACATTTAATATAACCATTGTACTAGCACCTAATCCGATAATTAAAATCAATAAACCATTCATGTATCTATAATATTTTAGACGATCGGATATATGATTTTGATTATTTTGTTTAATAAGGATGGAAAATTTAAGGTGAGCCATTAACCCATAAGCTAATACAAATAAATTACAAGACATTGCCGCCAGTTGAGGAACGACCTTCAATAAAAAAAAAATGAATAAAAGAAGAAAAATTAGAAATAATGATTTCGTTTGTAATGCGATAGTTTGAATTCACTCTTTTACTTACCTCTTCAAAAGTTTGTTTTTTCTGATACACTTTTAATTCTTGGATGTTGGAAGAATCCATTTTTTTATCATTGGTATTAAAAAAGAAAGGAATGCAAGGGAATACGATCAAGGTGATAGCGATAAAAGCATAATTTATCCTAAATTGCCAAGTGGTGATAAATTTCACTCTAACAATGTCATTGGCCAAAAAATTCCAAAAATTCTGTAATAAAAATATAGCGGAATTCTCAACGGCATAAAAAATCATGAGTATGAGATGAGCCATACGTTTTAATTGTTTGTTCTCTGGTGACCATTGCTCTCGCGGTTTACCAATGATTATATGTTTAGTTGGTTCAAGGATGAATCCTTCAGAATATTTGATCTTTGAGCAGATTACATCGTAGGTTAATATTAGCGTTATGGATAATAGATATAAGATCGTCATTATGGATTTGACTTCTTTTCTTTTTATAACTTTCCATCGCAATGCATCAAATTTGTCAATACTATATATATGTATGATTGACCATATTAAGATGCAAAAATCTGCAATCGCTCGAGCTGCAACAGGAAAAACATGAGATTAGAAACAGGCAAAAAATGAAAAAAAGGAAAAATGAAGGAAAGCACAACTTACCAAGGAATGAAAAATCTGAAAATTGATTCATGGTTTAATTAATTATTATTATTTTTTTTTTTTCAAATTCGTTTATTATAATTGATTGTTTATATAAAGTAATTTTTAATATGTTAACACAGAAAGGGATCGTCGAAGATTCATTTTTGCCTATTCTAATCATTTTATTTCCACATGATTGCCTGATTTGGCAAAAAAAAAAAGAAAAAAAGGAATGCTCATTTTTTTTTTTTCCTTTTAAATTTTTTTTCGTTTTTATTATGTTTAACCAGATAGATTGATAAAGTGAATAAGGAACTTTGTTATTCAAAAGGGTTCGGTGATCATCCAAAGGTTAACCGAATTTCGCGTATGCGTATGAAAAAATCGGGGTATGTAGATGATTATCATCAAACATCAATAAATCATTATTAATTTGTATTACAACAGACACGGACGAAAGTTATGTTTCAAAAAAAAACACAATTCCTTATTTAAATTTATAAGGAATCAATTTTCGTTTACAAACTTCAAGTGTATGATGAGAATTTAATAAATAATATTTGTTGGACACTAAATTTGTCATATTAAATTATTCGATAAAATTTTATTTTTTAATTTGTTTGAAAATGTTCGCTGTTATTAATGATAAAAGAACTTTATTAAAAGATATTCAATCAAACATTATTTTTTTGGGACTGTATATTACATGAAGTGAAAAAGTTATGTACATAGAAAATTATGTACATAAGATAAGAACGATTATTTAATTATAATAATAATAATAAAAAAGACAATTTCCTACCCGAATTATAAAAGGATTAGGTGTTTTTTAATGATTAAATGATGATAAATATTATTTAATTTGAACATTATTTTATTGAACAATGAAACTCCATCTTAAACGTTAAAGATAATGTATTACATTAAATTATATACTTTGTGAAAAATTTTCAAAGTTGTAATAACGTTCATTCTCATCTACATCTGAATTTGCTTTGACCTAAAAATAAGGACTCGTCAGACTTGGATGAATTAATTCAGTTAAAAAAAAAAAAATTACACGTTAAAATTTATACAAACCTTCAGGAGTATGACAGTCAAGGTTACGACCACCGCCACCTTGCATTTCAAAATCATCATCATCCTCTTTCTTCGCGATTGGCGCAGCAAAAACAACCGTGAAAATTAAACATAATGCGAACATTAAACTCAAAGAGATCTTCATGTTTACTTTTATTGAGAGGGAGGTTAAAGATTGAGGTGGGAGGAAACGATTCTCAAAAATTTGCGGATTGATTTGAGGGAGGAAGGAATCGTTTTTATTAAATAAAAGGAGTGTGGATAATTTGTTTAGGGATATGATTTTTGATTTTGTATTAACAGCGATAAACTTATTAAAAATCAACGCCGTTTATATACAAATTAAAATGCCAAGAATTATTTTAATGCATCTACTATTTTATTTATTACCAAATGAAATTGATGAGGAAATGTATTCATAATTAATGTAATTAATAAAAGCATGATGTTCGTCATTTGACTTATGTTTGTTTGCAATGCAATAAATGTATGAAATAGGGATATTCCATTAATTTTATTTTTTAAAACTTGCGTAGATCGCCAAATCTTATTGGTTCAAACATCTTGCAAACCTGACGCACCAAATATAACACAAAATTTAACCGGAACGGAATGCCGTGATTTAAAAATAACTTTTAACCAATCCAATATTTTGGATTTGTATATTATAACGCGTGAAGATATAAATTAGTTTTCCATGTTGGTAAAAGAGATTAATGACGTTTTGTTAATGATTTGTTGTTTATTTCTGTTTTTAAAATTAGTTCATTGATTTATTATTAATAATTCTCAAAAAGTTTCCGAAATTCTATTTCGAGCAATTTAAACCTCTGTATGGTCTTTTTTTTTTCATAAAATTCATACTGTTTCCCAATTGTCACATTTGTGTCCAATTAATTGGAGCGAAACACTTTTAGATTGATAGTAATGTTGTAAAATAGTTATTCCGTCATAATTGAAAAAAATTGTATCAAATGTAATCAGAATAGAATTATTACACCTTATTACTTTCATTACATAAAGTTAAATACTTTACCAGATTCAATATTGAACCCCGTCGTTTATAATCTGTATATTTTTTGAAATATAACAAACGCAGCAACGGTTGAATTTTAATTTATTCTTGAAAGGATATAAAAAAAAAAAAAAAAAAAAATGATCGTAAACCCAAATACGTTGTCCATTTCTTCATTTCTTCATTTTTTTTTTTAAAAAAAAAAATCTGATGATTTGATTTCTTACATTTAGTCGCATTCGAGAATTAGAATATCCCTTGAACTTTGCCTTGGTTTAAATTGTTGACCTATTGGAAACAGAATGCGTCACACAAAGTATTAACATACAAGATCTTTTGAAATATCGAATCTGGTATATCGTGATTCATCAACAAAAGTAACCTTCGGCAACCAATCACGATAAACAAGTATGCTGAATACGTCAATGGCAAAAAATTATTGCATATAAACAAATCGTAACTTAGAAAAGTCTCAAGTGAAAAATTTATTTGATCGAAAATAATTGTGTTTTTTTTTAGGGATTATAAATTTTACGCATTTGCGTAACAAGTAACAGCCATTATGTACAACAAATGACATTTCAGAGAAATCACAATATCATCCTTTTTGTATATTAAGCAAGCGTCTAACAAAAGTGCCTATTTATTTGTTACCAATGTATATTGTTTTTAGTTAAAAAACATAATCTCAAAAAAATCATATTTATGCACCATAAATTCTCTCAAATGTGATAAAGGTTTTGCATTGAATAAGGAACTTCTGTTATCATAATACCGAATATTGGTGAGCTAATGGAATCATTGTTGCGCATTGACCAGGCTTAGACCAACAAGCTGTATTTACACGACGACAGCGTGACAAGTATAGAAGGAACCATTAGAGTCGTTATATCTGCTTGATTTTCGGGCAACCCTTCATTACTTTCCTGAGAGATAATGGGAGTTACGTGATCTAAATGCATGATGAACAACAAGAGAAAATTTATTCAGATTTCTTCGTTTTTCGTATTAAAGGATGAGAAAAAGAAAGAAAGAATTTAAACGATACTTATGCGTTAAGATAGCTCGTCTACTTTGACAATTTTGACAATATGAAATTTATTGCATGCTTTTTTTATGCTAACATTCACGATTATGGGTCTTTGGTTGTGAATAGCTCGAAGTATATGTGTAATGAATACGTTTCACTATACTATATACATCCCTGCATATCACGGGGGACCTTAAAAAAAAGGAATTTAGCAAGTGATCTGTACACGAAATAATTGGTAATGAAACTTCCGGGCGAGTCGATTATACAATCAACGTAATGAATTTTTTCTTGACAACTTTTCCTAGACAGCGTGGTCCCAGAAATTCTTGCCCTTTTTTGTACTACCATTCTAGGAGGCTGAGAATTCTTATTTGTATTATAGAAGGCAAAGTACAGCGTAGCATCCCCTTAGAATATAAAGCAACTCGAGTGTTCATAACGAAATGAACAAGTGGAAATGAAAACAGGACTACTTATATAGTATTGTGATTAGTGGTTGGCATTTCATACTTTATTCTCCAGGTTAATTTCTCAGGAGGAGTGAAATCCCCTATACCATCGAATTTAATAAAAAGGCTTAGATAAAGTTTCTGAAGAATATTAAGTGTTGCGTAAAGGCATTAAGAAGGATGAAGAACCTGATAGGTAAAAATCTAAGATATAGGGTTATCGCTCGGCAGGAGCATTAGCATAAAAACTTCTTATATTCTATGTAACGGTCATCTGAAAATAATTGATCACCTGAAAATACATTGTATAATATCAGAAAAATTCTTGCCGGAAGAATAGGTAATTATGTTATCACAAAATAATTCAAATTTATTCTGCTTGAGAGTATGTATACTAAATTACTAATACAGTAAATGGACAATATGATTTCCGATTAATTTTTAGAAGCAGAGCAGATTTTCACTTTTCAAATCCCGTTCACTATTTCTACCCACCCCACCCATACCCACCCACCCGAACCATTCAATTCATTTAATTCATTTCAAGTTTAGATTGTTTAGATTATTAAGTTCCAATAATCTCACTTTAGCCGCTATCTCATGCAAGTTTGCCCTGCGTTCTTCTAAAATTAACTCTATTTCAAGATTTGTTTCTTCTTTAATATTCGTTACCTCTTTATCTTCTTTCTCGATGAGTAATTTCGGGGATTGTTCATAATTTTTAAATCATCCTAAAAATTAAAAATTGAGAAAAAAACCGTGAGCATATCATCTTTTCGAATTAAAAACACACTTTAGGTAAACGAAAACATCAATGATTTGGTCATTGTGAAATAGGTTACCACCACATTCCAGACTGAGGTTGGATATCTTCACGCAAGATAATACAGGTAAAGATTCATTCCCCTTCGCCGCATCCTTTTTCATTAATCGTTACAAATCCTTTTTACTTGAGCAGTTGCTATGTCAATTGGAATTGCGGCAGTTTTACCGCCATAATTTCTTGGATTAACTAATTTAATTTTATAGCGTACCCTAAAAAAAAAATGTCAGTTAAATTGAGTACAACATTGTAAGTAAAAATAATCGCAAATGCAGTTGGAGAATCGGAGCATTTTCTCCATGCGTTGCTTTCGTGAATCTTAACTGTATGGTAAGGCGACTTCACTTCTTGAACAGGGATCATAAAATTAAGTACCTAATATTTTAAAAAATTTTAAATGTACAGTACCTGAAACAAGAGAAAATACAAAATAAATTAAGGAAAAATATCTTGTCAAATTTTATGTCATTCTTTATTCTCGTCTTTTCGGAGATGACAATAAATCATAAGATTTCATCATAAAATTCGCATAAACTTACATTTTTAAGGCTTTTATTTTTAAATGACTCATCATTCATGTTTTTAATGTTAAAAGTTGACCGTAAAAAGCACAGGTTAGTACAAATGAGTAGTCAAATTCTTAAAGATATAAAATTAATTCAAAAATATTTTACCAAAGAGGAAATATTAATTATAACCAAAAGTCAAAATCCCATATATCCTACTGTTCTGATATGATATAGTAAAAAATAAAAATAAAATAATAATACCCTTGATAATAATATTATAAAACCAGTACAGAACAGAATGATCATAATTTGCGAGTACCGATCTGCAAAATCATATCGTACGTACTGAATCAAATAGCTCGTAATATACGTATAAATTTAATGTATTGATTGCCAAATAAATTAAAAAGAACTTTACTATTTCAAATGAGAGTCGCAAATCCAAATTTTATACAACAATCAAGCTAATTATTATGCGACTCAATCGGTTGAGTCTACTGAACAGGTCTAACGATGACTGAGTCATGTAGGAAATGATGTAAGATAATAAATCATTAACCTTCCACTATAAGTTAGCGGTTCAGATATTATATACTGGAAGTAAAAAAAAAAAACAATTGTAGAGATGAGTATATACCAGTATAGATCTTTGCCGAATATTGAACCAATTCAAACAAAATAATACATAGGTCGATCTCAGCGTCAATAATAAATATTTATAGGAGGGTATGCACGTTCTATACTATACTCATGTAGAAATCTGAGCTTAACATAATTGCCGTAAGTTCCTGGCCTGGATAATTTTTTTGGTTAAGAAACCGGATGATCACTCAAGATTCGGGATAAAAAATGTATTCTTATGGTCTCTTTTAAAATATCCAACTAATTTTGACGCCATTATATAAGATACTGCATTACTGGATCGCGAAAGAAAAATTTTAAGAAGAGTTGGTTTATTTTTTTAAAAATAATATATGTTCAATTATTAAAATTGCAGAGGCAAATATCAAAGAATTTTTTTTTTAATTGCTATTTGAAAAGTATTATATCTATAGAGAAATTTAAGGAATAATCTATGGATTAATTCATAAAATGCGAAAAAATGTATTCTTACCACTCCGGATCTTGTTTTAACCAAAAAATAATCCGTGTTGTCCCGGACTTTTGTATAGGATGGCGCCTCATATTGCAGATTGTTCTTTTTATTTTGTAAAATTTCATCATTTTTCGTTTGCTAGAAAAAAAATCACATTTTATGACCGAAATTATAAATCTCAAATATATGCAAAGTAAATGCGATTGAATATAAATCATTGACACACCAAAGGTCATTTTATTGAAAAAAGAAAAAGCCAAAGGTTAAAACCAAACAAAAGAAAAAAAAACGAAATAGAGAGGAAACAATAAAAGAGATTAATGGGTAAAATCTAAGACTACAATAAATTACAAGTAAAAATACAAAGAAATACAAAAAAAAAAAAATTATTGCCGCCGACCAGCGGCATAAATTTTCAATCTGAAAATTATGTTGTTGTTCTCGCCCAATAACTTTATTGAGAAGTTGGAGGTCGCCGCGAGCTCCTAGTTGCCTCTGAGTAACGGCCTATGGAGGGGCCCACTATGACACCGATAGTTTATTCAGGTTGTCTAGTTAGCATCCCTTCCATTTCGTGTACTATGGAAGGACCTATAATCATACAACATTTATTAATTCTTACTCAAACTAATAAACAAAACATTAAAACATATTCGAATAAAACATACTTATTCTCTTCTTTCAGTTTTTGCATTGAATGACAAATTGGACACCTCGTATGACAACTTTAATGTCAATGCCTCTGTCATTGCGACTTCTGTATTATATATAATAAAAAAATAAATCATTAAGGATATGTGTCATAATAATAAAGAATCAAGTTGTGCGTTCACAGTTGTGTATGTCTACCTATTCACTACTTGGACGAAGATTTTACCAAACTTTATCCGAGATTTACTTGTCATCCCATTAAGAAAAAAACATATTTACCTTTTTATCTCCTTTTCTCAAATTTTCTCTCTCTCAAAAATCGTATTTTCAAAGAACTTTGCATTCCACCTCAAATTTCGTATACGGTGGTGTGAGTATTTTTATTATTGTTTCTTTGTTTGAATTTTCTCTGGTTACATAGGTACGAAAAACTGCAAAATAAGTTTAGTTAATACCTCCATGTAACGAAGACAAGAATAGTAGGATAAAAAGAAATATTTTGTATTTGGAATATAGTTTATATTGGTAAACAAAAAAAAAAGTTGAAATCATTTTATATAATCAGTCACGTGAGTTCAAAATAGGATGACATAATATGGGAGCTTTGCTATTAAAAATGGGTTCTGGGAACCTTTCAACAAAAAATGAGATTTTTGATTCATATTATAGTATACTAAATAAACTTTATTTGGTTAAATTTTTAGAGGCTATTAGCTTATTAATAAAACAAGTAATCTGAACTTCAAAAATGCTTAATTTTCTGTGTAATTTTAATCAAATATCTAAAATTAGATTTTATAGAAATGATTTTAGCAATGATCGGCAAATGAACGATATATAAAAATGCTTCAGAGTATGGTTTAATAGCAAAATCTTAAAAATTTCAAGGGTAGTTCGGAAACATGTATGGTATGGATTTTCATGTATGGAATGTGTGGTTTTACAATTGATGCAAATTCATACCGGTATGGATTAAAATCCATACCGGTATAAATTAGCCATACTGAGAAATTATCCATACTTGGTTATTAAATATATTAAATAAAATTTATTTCATTATTGACATTATAGCACAGTATAATCATATGATTGATGATAAATATATATTAAGTAAAAATATTTAGCGATATGAATACAAATTAAGTAAAAAAAGATTCAGCGAATTAAAATAATGAAATTGTGATCAATTTAATTTTAAATTTCTCAAAAAACTTTTATTTACTAACTAAATTAATTATAGTGAATTCTGAAAAATGTCTGTAAAATGTTTGTAAATTAAATATAAGACTTATTAAATATATATTCGGCCAAAGATTTATATAGTATTTTAACTGTTAATAATTAAAAAGAATATGTTTTATGAAGTTTTTTAAGCATTTGAGCATTTATTATATTCATTACCAAACCATTCTTTTATATTTTTAAATAAAAAGAAAAGAAAATTTTTTTTAATAAATAAATTCGGCTTGTATTTATATAAATTATATTTTTCGTGAATATCAATTATTAAATTTCATTTTTGATGAAATTTTCCTTGATTGTTGTAGTCTTGATCAATCTCAGTTTTAGCAAAATAATCACCACATAAAAACAGATTAGTACGAAAAAAACAAATCAATTTGTTTTTATTTATTTTTGAAATTTTATGGAATTGTAAATAATACGTAATATTTATCTAATAGATATATAAAGTGGAAGAAGCTTTTTTGAATGAATAAAATAAATATGTTAATATAAAATTTTTCCCCCAGACTTCCTTAGGCTTTTTTTTTTTATCATTTTTTTTTTTATTTTTTCTATTTTTATTTTTTTTATTGTTTATTTTTTACTTTCATTATTAATCTAAAAATTCATACCGATATGGTTTTACATCAATTGTAAAACCATACATTCCATACATGAAAATCCATACCATACATGATTACTATATTATATACCCAAATTTCAAGTGTTACGAAATTGATGTAACAATATTTTTGATAAAGCAGAGTTAATAGTAAAATTTTAGATATTTTATGGTTTCATTATTTTTAAAATAATTTAATATTTGTATATTAGGAAACCTCCTAATTTTTTTAATTTCTTACAATTTGACAAATTCAAACCAATCAATACTTTCTCCTAAACCTTACTTTAATTCTTCTATCTTTGGATTGCAATTCTTGAGCATGTCTAACTTCCATCAATTTTTTTTTTAAAAAATTCGTTTGTTCATTACTGTTTTCTTGAATTGATTGCATCTTTTGAATCTCGCTTAATAAGAGAGGGCAAAGTCTTTTATAAATAAAAATTTCAGCCCCCCGGCTTATATTTTCCGCATTACTTAATTACTACTCTTCTCATGATGAACTCATTATTGTATATAAATATAAATTTATCAAATGCCGATAACGCGACAAATTTGCAATTTATTAATTATTATTGAGGTATATGAAGGCCTTTTTTTCACTAAAGGATTTGTATTAAAAATAATCATAGTAATAATGTTGATTATTATCAAATAATCAAAAATGGTCTATTTTTTTTAAAAAAAATGAGTTCGATAGTCGAATACAATTTTACAAAGGGCAATGGTATTGTATTTTATTGTAAAATGTAAATTTATTTATTTTTTTTTATAACGATAATGATAAGTTTAGTTTTATATAGAAAAAAAGTATACTATAAAACATAAATAAAAATCAAATCAAAAATATTTGTAAACTTCCAAACAAGTATAAAATCATTGCTCTTCATCAAATAATAATAAATCTATCATTTCTGACTCTTCAAATCTTTCTTTCTCATTCGTGGTGATTGCACAGTATTCTAATCTTTGCTCTACAATAATCTCCTTATTTGATCTAATAAAATTTATGCAATATTCACATAATTGTGATGCTTCACAATTTTTTGACCATTCTAAAATTTCGCATACATTATGGATATTAATACATGAACTTATAATTGAATTCTCTATTATGTTTTTAAGTTGTTCAATATTATAAATATCAGTTACAGTTAATAAACGAACCAAAAAATTCAAATAATAGGTTTCATAACATTCTTGTTCTGTTGTAAAATCTTCCTTCTTACGTAAAATAGATTTTATTGCATTTTCAAAAGATTGTCCATATAACCATTGAATTAGTACCTGAAATGTATCTGACTGAATATCCTTTATCTCAATTTCATTCTTTTCTGCTTCACTAAACCCACGACAAAACATTCCTTCAAAATGAGTTGAAGCAGCTAATAAATAAATATAAAAATTAATATGAATAAAAGAAAATAAAATAAAAATCAATAAGAATGATCATAAAATATCTATTTAAATCGTACCCGAAAGTATATATTTGTTGGCACCAATTCTTTTTTTCTCTTTACCGACAATAAAAGTGACATCATTGCCAGAGTTACTTCGAAGTTTGTTCAATAAAGCTTCGATTAACACATCCTTTTGATCATCCTTCACCTTTTTTACATTGGATTTATCTATTTCGTTCAACTCTCGAGCTCCTGCAAATAACAATAATTCCTCATAAGGCATTAAAGGTTCTTTAACCCCTTTAAAATCATCACCAATTATAAGATCCTTTCCTGCTACCCAATTATTTTTATCAAACGGGTTTTCATCATTCAAGAATAATGTCTTCTTAGAGTCACTAATATATAATTCTATCAAATCGCTCTCATCCTCTAAACGTTCAATCATTGATTCATAAATATTGTTGATCACACTTTTGATTTTCTTCTCATTATTGGAAGACCTCCAGGATTCTATATTTTCGGCGACAAAAAACCAATGTTTGATAATACTTTCTGTACATGGTATTCCAATCTCCGGATAAATATCAATGAATAAATTAGTGGGCTCAATGCTTTTATCAAATAATGGGCATTCCGTCCAACATATCTTTTTATAATCTTGACGACATATATTGCCAAAAGTTTCGAATCCTGAAGTTTCCTTTGGTGATTGATAAAATTGAATTGGAAGATTCTTTTCTGAAAGTACGAATTTGATTTCTATAATTTGTTCCCATTGTTCTTCATCAAAATCTAGTGTTTCAATATGTTCATACATATATAGTACCAATTCCTTTGCTCGAATTTTAATCAAACTTGCTGAAAATCTATTCTGAATAATTTGTGATTCAACCTCTTGTGCGCACTCAATAAAGGTATCACCATTTATTTGACTTTTAAGTCCAATTCTTGCAAGAGCTTCTAAACTTACGGAATTATTTTGTAATTTTGGTGGTAAAAATTTGTCACTTCCAGCAAAAATATTGCGAAATAAAAAATTATCTATGTCATATAATTGATTGACCATAACTAAGGCGGTAAGCGATTTGTTAGGTGCGAATTTTATGGATTTAAAATATCGCTCTATTAACGGATTCTTTAAGGATAAAACGTTTTGCAAGAAATCGACATACTGATGAGAAGGTGTTAACCATAATATGAATAGATAGTTTTTAATATATTCCAATTCAGTTATAGTTTTTGCACCTAATTTTTTAAGTAGATTGAAATATGCAGACCTTTTATCATATTTATAGAAATTGGTATTTATTTGAAAGGAATAGAATGCAAAATCGAATGGATAAAGGATTCCAGATTTGACATTGGTGAACTTTTCTTCACAAGAATATGTTGGCCATATTGGTAAATCCCTAAGAATATTCATAAAATTATCTTGACTTTGTTGATGATCTGTGAAGAGAGAATAAAGTATTATTTTTAGATGATCGTGGAATATCAAAAATATATTTACTAAATCCTTTCACCTGCCTATTAAAATATCAATTTGTTCTTTAATAAACATTCTAAGCTTTTCATAATCTGAAGGTAATAAATTACCTTTTTCAAACAACTGATTCATAGACAAGGTAAATAAAGAACAAGTCCGACTCAAGGAATTAATGATATTTATAGGTGTACATTTCACGACACAGTTCTGAAGTCTTCTATCAGCATTTTCGGGGATCGACATTTCAGTAAAACGTACTTTCAGCTTTACTAATACCATATATAACTTATGCCCACCTTCAGGTAAATATAAAAGTGGATTTTTTATATCGGGTCGAATAAGCATATTATAAGGTTGAGTCACTGGCAATAGAGCAAAGTTGGAAAGTTTGGCTAATTCTAAAACATTAGCTTTTTCATCAAACAATATTGACCAAATATTTTTAAGCCAAGATTTATTTGGTATAGATCTTCCATTGGGATCCCATTTCAATTCCTTCATAAATAATAATTCTGGTAATTCACCTATTAAAAGATCTAAAATAATAGAATTATCAAACCTTTTTATTTTTGTTTTTTCGGAAAACTTGACACTAGCAAAGATTCTCAACAGATTACTAGGTAAGTTTTTAGAAACAAATTTAGATGGGCCAATTTTTGGAAATAAATCTTGATTTTTTGATATTTCAGTAGCCTTTTTTGATTCTAAATAATAAGTTTCGCCAAACTTTCCGACTAAGCCATTATTTAATGGAACCAATGGTAATCCAGTAAGAATTTCGTAATTTTCGTCTGTAACATCATTAAGGATGAAATCAAGCAATTTGTATAGTGAATCATGATCCACGCAAATATCCAATCCTTTCAATTCTTTGCAGACTAATTTTCCATCAAGCAGCGTATATTTGAATCTTGAATTCCTAGATCTAGCTTCCCAAAGTTGTTTGAACCTGTCATCATCAATTTTGACTGCTAGAATTCCAAAGTCGGCCAACATATCTGTAATAATTGTTTCTTTTTCAATGAGAAATTTAGCCGATTGTAATGAAGTGAAGTGTCCACCATTCGCATTAGTCCAAAAAATTCGATGCCCACCGAGGCCTAGCTTCATTAAAATATTTAATTCATAATTTTTAAACGAAGTAATCAAGTTCTTCCCAATAGGAAAAAAATCTCGTGGAATGAAATTAATTTTATCTTTTTTGAACCTATCTTCTTCATACTTCAAAACATGCTCGAGCAACTTAACATGCAAATCATGTAAAACTTCGTAAAGAATGTATTGGTTCCATTTTGCATCATCGCAGTTAGCTTGCAAAAAATCATTTCCTAATTGTACAATATTGTTTCTTGCTCTAGATAAAGAAAAGTTTCCGTTTAAATGAACTCCAAGATTGGTTCGCATCGATAAAGGCAAATATGAATAAATTTCACCCCTGAATTCAAGGGGATTTGGAAACTGCAACGCAATGCACAAGTTAATAAAATACCTTTTTTTAATTACGAAATAAATATATTAATGTTTAAAAAACTAATACTAACTTTTAATGCATTCAGAGATTTTTCATCAGATTTAGCAAGCAACAATGCCACTCCACCTCTTGGCTAATTAATTAAATAAAAAAAATTATTACCCAAGTTTTAATAATTATAAAAATAACAAATAAATCTATTATGTTACATTGAGTCGCTTCTCTCTTGCAAATTTTTCAAATTTTGTTTTGACTCTATCATGTCCTCCTGTACATAAAATCCATTGTTCTGATTCTTTCTTGTTTAGAATATTAATTCTTTCGATATTCAATTGGTAGATCTGCATCTCATTGGTTACGCTTTTACGCATTCCACGACAAGTTCTTGACGCGTTAATTTGCGCTTGCCATACCAATTGAGGAGATTGGTATTGTTCTCTTAGGAGGTGTAGACTACATATTTCTACATTTCTTAAAAAGAGCATTTCTTTATTTCCCTGTATTTTACCGAGTACTCGCAAGATATCACTAATTTCCACAAGTTGACTCGAAATTTCACTTTTTCCTACCGTTTCACGAGTCCTAAGCGGAAGTCTAAACAATGAACCTTTAAACGTATCCATAAAATCACAATGATCTATAAAATCAAGCCCTTCTAAAGCCTTGTAAGGACAGCATTGATCGGAAAAACTCTTTTTAAATTTCTTTTCAATAAAATTGAATCTAGTACCACGATGCCTTTTAGGAGGATACCCCTTTTCAGGAAGAAATTTACCATTTGGATCTAAAAATGTGATATATTTTCCGCTTACAATGCTTGGTAAATCTGTGATATGATAAGCACAATTGAATCCTGTTCCAAATCTTCCGATTTTTGTGTCATCATGAGATTTTCCTCCAACTCCAAGATTGGTCAAAGCCCGAAAATCTTTGATAGGAAATTCAGCATCATTATATATCCATATCGCAGGACCTTGCCAATAGTTCATTTCTTCTGACAATAAAGATTCATTGTAATCATAATATTGCCTCTCATCTATTATTACCGAAAACCGTTTCGCTTCAGCATCATCCGCATTCTATATTCCAATTAAAGTTTGTCAATTTCATAAGATTTAATTTCAATTTAAAGAGATATAAATAAATTCATTACTTACTTGAAGAAATTCATTAAACAATTTGCCAAATGAAAATTCCTAATGATCATCATAATAGTTTTTAACAAAAAATAACATAACAAATTGATTACATTGAGCATTAAAATTCAAATGATTTACCCCAATAATACTTCTTAACCTGGTAGTTAATAATTCTTCTTGCTCATTTGTATCTTCATAAATGTTCCCATAAACTGTTGAAAAACAGATGTGTACATAAGTGTATAAAAATTATATTCACAAATACTAAAATGATATAGATACCATATATTTTTCCTGTCAAGGTTTCTAATTTCAATTCTTTGGCAATATGCCGCGTTACAAGGTGATGTGCGATTTTATATTTACTTTTCTCTATTTCATCAATCCTATCTTTCAAATCATCAAATTGAATTTCATACAAGTTCACAAGTTTGTTATCAGTACTGGGAATTAATAGTCCGTCCAATCTTTCTGGATTCTTCCCATCTCTCCTATTATCTCTTTGTATCGTTATAATTCGTTCAAGAAATTGAATGACCCTTTGTACTTCTTTGGTTGATAAAATTCTATTCCCATCTCCCTTTACCATATTATTAATAATCAAAATCAAACCATTGACCCCGATTTCATCTTGAAGCCCCATGGCTTTGAACATGGATCCAAATTGAACTGAATATTCTAAAGGAAGTTCAATTAACGAGCCATTATCCTTAAATTCATTTGGAAGGCGGGTAAAGATTTTATCAATTGTATAAAATTGATTTCCATAAAAGATCCATGGTTTATGTTCTAATTCTTTTTTTATCATAAAGCGGAAATTTCTCCTATGGAAAAGTTTATTCAAATACTCATAAATCGCGTTACAAATAATTTTCAACTCATCTGGTGTCTGATTTTTTGCCAATCCATTGTAACATATTTCCAATTGCTTTAAAACAATTTTAATATCGGGTTGGTCTAGAATTTTTAAAAAGTCGTAATTATTTGCATCATAATCCAGAGTTGGAGCAATCAAACAAACTAAATTTTTATACTTTTTACAATAACAATTATTAAGTCTCGAAAAAGTATGGCACCCAGATTTGTCAACAGTAGGAATCCATTCATTTCGTAAAATAGCATACATGAACTCATAACTATTATCATTCAATTGATCCCATCTTTCGTCAAGATATTTAAATAGATTCAATGCTTTTGTACGAATTAAGTCTTCTTCAATTGCAGTTGCAGGATTTTGAACTCTCGTTACGAGAGTGTTAATTCGATAAATTATATCATTTGGCGAAAGTATTGATTTCATTCCCAATAATTTTAAACTTGAGAAATATTTAGGGTCGCCGTATTTGCCGGTAGGAAAGACATAATCGTCCTCAAAAAATAGACCAATTATTGACTCTTCTTCCGGATCAAATAGTTGTGTTGGGTTAGACAACTTTACATTTGTAGAAATTTGTTGCTGCTTTGACATTTCAAGTGTACCAGCAGGTATGAAGGAAGTCGCTCCAAGAGAAGCCTTCAATTCATTAAGCAGGGATGGTGATTTATCAAAAAGTAGTTTGTCAATTATAATGTCAATGCCCGTTTGTGGTTGCGATTTGAGGAACGGTATAACATAATTTTGCCAGTAATTGTATGAATTTAATCGAGGAACTTTAATAATATCTTCCAATATATAACGCAAATTTGGTAAAGCTGTATTAAGAAATTTTCCTCTATCGCTTGGATAGATGATTTCGCCATATGAATTCATTTCATCATTAGGAAGAAGGTACCAATTTTGATTTCCGATTAATGAGATCGGTATATTTTTGCCAACTTCGAAAAAAATTGGAAGATGCTTGATAACAGTAATAACATTTGATGCATCATTAGCAACAAATCGTATATAATTGGATAAATATTCAATAAACGTCGATATTTCATGGGGTTGTAACACGCGATTTAAATTACTTGGATATGAATTATCGGCTTGGAAAGAACTAAGAACCGATATAATATCATCAGGTTTAATAATATATGAAGATACTCTATAAGGTCAAATTCAAGGTACAAAAGACGATTAATTTATTTATCCAAGCGTGATTCAAAAAAAAAAAAAGATAAACAAAATACTCACAAATCACATTTCGCAATGTCTTCAAATTTATTATCTACAAAAACGGCACCAAATTTTTCGAGAACAACTTTCAAAGAAGGTGTAATTGAAATATAATTGCTCGTTTGATTGGATAAAATTTTTTTCGAAGGATTTAATTTTCTAAGAGTAGAGCGACTTGTCGGGATTAAATGGATATTTTCAAACTTTTTCAAATCCCAATTTTTATTTATTAAGTAATCCCACAATTTATGAATCCATACACTATGATTTGATACTTGCATCTCCTCAAGGAATGGATTTTCCGGATCAAGTGTGAATCTAATCATATCGACAACAGCATATTCATCCAAGATTTTAATGTTTAGGTTCCACCCATCTTTTGCAAGTTCACGCAAACGATTACATAACCCGAAATCATCCCTTGAAATGAATTTGTCCAGTTGATCTTTAAAGATATAGTGTTCAACGTTTTTTTCATAATCATCATCAGGACTAATGTACACAAAAGTATCGCTAAAGCGTGACAAAGTACCAAGCTTACCACTCTCGAGTGGAATTATTTTTAAACCTTCCATTTCATCAAAATTTTCGTTCATGATTAACACATATTTAAATAATGCTATAGCTTCTTCTTTTGACAGTTGATCTTGCCATCTATCACGATTGTGCTTTAAATACATACGACCAATGGCTGGAGACAAAACTTTAAGAAAGTCTTTATGTTTTGAATTGTTTAATGCATCAATGATCTCATTTGGAACTGATATTACCGGAAAACCAACATCTCCAAATATTTTAAGTAAATTTGACATATCTTCAAAATGTAAGTTATCTTTCAAATAACCAATAGAAAGTGATAACCAATGAAATCCGGATTCCTTAAATAAGGATGCGTCATATGAATTTTTTGAATTTTCGGGCACTTTTCCGATAGCATTTGTTAATGATGGCCCCTTAAATACGCGATCTTTCATACCAAGTTCGTTCATGACATTTTGCAATAATTTCTGGCAAAAAGAGATTACGCCACTTGATACACCTTTTTTAATTATTGGCCAGAATTGATATACGTTATCCGATTGGATTTTAGGAACCTTGTGTGGAAGTTCACAAAGAAACCTTACCCAAGCTTTAGGTAAGACATTTTCAAATAAATATTTATTCCACGAAATCATTAAATGTGCTAATGCATCAACCGCCTACAAAAGTAAAGTGTGAGTTCAAGCGTTAATAAACCTTTTTTTTTTATTTTTTAAGATTTACATTAAACTAGAATAATTAATTACCAATTCATCATCATCTTGAATCGACCATAAAGAACGTCGATTCGTACTAACCTGGCAAAAAAAATTAAAAAATCTTAAAATATAAAAAAATTAGAAATATAGGCAATATTCATTCTTACCGCGAAATATCCATGTACTGAAACGGGAAAGGGCATATGAATGGGAAATGGTAAAAAGCAAAATAATCTTCCTAAAACATTTAAATCATTTAATGGGATGGCCAATCCAACGTTGGGAATAAATTTGTAATTTCTTATATTTTTTCCAAAATTTTTTTGAAAGAAATCCTCGGTTTCTTGCAAGTCATTTAAATAATTCAAAATTAACCAAGAGACCGTATCCTCCTTAGAATTCCCCTTCTGGCGACAGAAGTGTGCAACATAAGATGATTCCAATTGACTATTGCTACTTAATTTCTTCGATTTTAATAAATCCATCATCGGGACAATGTTTTCCGCTAATAACCGACGCTGTTCTCGGATCAAATCCGCATTCTCTAAATGAATAGTATATAATAATTCGGGTTCAGCGGCACCTTCCTTCAATTCGTAAAAAGAAATACGTTCAACATATTTTAAAAACAATAAGCAATTAACGCTTTCATTTTCATAAAATTTACGAAAGATTTCCAAGATGTCATTAGGCTTAAAAGTTTTTTTGGAAATATCAGAAATCGTATCATTACGGAGAGGATAACGAAATAAAGTTCCTTTAAATGGTTCATCACACGTGATACTAAAAGGTGGAATTCTAAAAGGAGCAAATGAATCAGGAAATTTTTCGGCTAAACACTTTTGGACAAAGTTGAATTGGAAACCACCATTAAAATACCATCTATGTGGATCAAGAATGACAAGTTTATCACCGGTAATAAAAGAAGGGGAATCTGTAATATGATAAATCGAATTGAAGCCGATACCCATCACTAAAAATACAAATGTAACAATACAATATTATTAGAATATTTAATTGAAAGTGAACATTTTTGACCAAATAAGTTCAAAGAAAAATTTTACCTCCGATTTTATTAAATTGATCACGTTTTTCGCTATTGGCCAATTTTTTCAAGGATAGCAAATCTCTTTCATCAAACATGGAATTATTCTTCGATAACAAGGCAGGACCTTGATATCTATCAAGTTTCAAATCGAATTTTTTATAATTACTCAATATCGGTTCGATTAAATGATTCGAAGGATAAGTATTATGATCCAATATGAATATTTGCTCAGTGCTCTTCGCATCATCAGAATTTTGAAGAATTTCACGAAGAATTTGTGAACCTTCAGGATATTCGTCAAGAATACTGCTTAGACGGCGAGTATAAGGTTCTTGTGGATCAAATTCTTCACCGATTTCTTGCATCATTGCTAAATTATAAAATATCAAGAAGTAAGTGTCGGATTGACATTTGTCATGTTAAAACTTGAACATAAATATTTATAATAAATTTAGGGAGTCAATTTCATTTTATGCTATTTATGATTTGTGCGTCCAAACAGATTTAAACAAAAGGCTTTCAAAAAAAATAAATAAGGAAAATTCCGAAATTTAATAGTTGTGCAAAGAAACGTGTGATAAGACACAACATAACTTTGTTTTGATTAAAAAAGGTCTCAAATGACTTTTGTTTTGCATTACAAGTTAACGCAAATGTCGATCATGGAGTTTCTGTCCGAAAGGATTTTTTTTGTAGTACAAAAAAAGAAAACCGATCGCAGAATTATTTTAAACAATAAATTATACTATTTTATGTTATTTCCTGTATTTACTTTTTCGTAGAAAATAGATATTTATTCTTTTTAGGTTCTTCTTTTATTAATAAATTTTTTTTTTTGATTATTCAAATAACTTATATTCTAATTAATTTTATAGTTAATTCGTCGATCTATGTTTCAGAACAAATGCATTATTGGCGTTTTCGAAATTATTGAAATTGATGTCAATCATGTGATGGCGATCGATTTTTTTAAGTTAGTCACGTTCGTTCAGCTTTACATAATAAAAACTTTAATTTTTAAATAAACTACTACGAATTTTT